AGTTCGTTCATTGGAAGAAATCAAGAGGGTTGAATAACATGTACAAAAGAAGTTCATTGGTTATCCAGGCATTTGCCAACCGCGTGCCAGTATTCTTGGTATCTTATAACTTCTGCCTGGGATGCGTGGCTTCCGACTGGTCGGCACAATCGGCCCATGGTTTGTTTTCCAGAAGCTGCGACGCGTAAGCACTTTGTTGGCGTCATCTGGAATGCATGACTTATCACAGTTGTCCAGAAACTATGACGTGTCACCCCGAGGATTGCGTCATCCCGTAAACGAATGATCACCACATACCATTTCCCATCCACCAAATCAAACAGCATTTGCCAAATCAAGTGTGGATGCTCAGCCACCAGAGAGAAAATTGTCACCGAATGGCCGAATATTGCCCAGTGTGGCTTAAGAAAGCAATGGATGACATGTCCTAAATCGTTACTTTATCGATCGAGCAGAAAGGACATATATTTGATAACACATCACTTTTTCAAACAGAAACANAGAAACATTGTTTCACTCCAACCGAGGCGCTTCAGATCATCTAAAATACAAATCCCTTGCTTTTAGGTGGTGGCCTGGGATGAGAGACCCCACTAACTGACTGACCGTCTTTGTAGAAGACAACCGGAATGATAGGAATTTGCAATACCGATAAGTCTCCGTGTGAGCTAGGTGGCACAAATATAAAAAGAGAGCTTCCTCGCGATGGATTCAGAGTTTCACAGCACGAATAGGTGGGTGGATATACACAACTGATGAACTCTAAGGAGAGCGAAACTCGAGTTTAGTCCCTCCCCAGTTCAAGGTTGATTGAATGAACTGGGGATTCAGCATGAAGATGAAATCCTCATTCTAACTGAGATTTGCTGATGTTTTAGCCATTGGTACTCTCAAATCCCATCTATATAAACAACGTGAATGGTTAGTCACACGAGCTTTGCCTTGGGGGTTGAGCCCCAGTCCTCTCCTGTTCTTCGTGTTATTGTTTTGCGGTGTTCATTGTGATTAGCGGTCCTGTCCTCGTTTCGCGGTTATTACCTCACTGATTATAAAATCACGTCCACTGTAGTATGCATACATGCAACAAAATGGCCATGGATACGTTGAATTTTCCATTCAAATTTGTGAAGGAGAAAACAGTGCTTTTCCACCTCCCTAATTGTCCGATAGCATCAGTTCACGATTTCATAATATGAGCTGACTGCTGCCAACAGCAATAAATCCTTTAATCCACATTTGTTTTCCCCAGTGGTCCTCAAAACACGTTTGGCCACCTGACACAAATGGTTTCTTTCATCTGAAATGCTTTTCTGTCAGAAGGTGAACTAGCAGATCCATAGCCTGATCTTTGCATCACTCTAGCACCTAAAACAGACTAGGGTAAGTTTCAGATAAATGCTTCATTCTCGGTACTACTTATGACTTTTAAGCAAATTATTATCAAAGCTTTCAAAACTCGCCTGTTAATTTTTGTGATTTGAAACAGTTCGTTTATTGCAATCGTCTCTCTACTGTAGATGCATTCGCCTGTCTAACACATTCCCGTCTAGTCACATTTACTTTCTGACCTACGCAAAGGATTTCAACTGATAGTATTTCAACCACTGAATCGCCCATCAGATCTGGTATATTGCATGCACGATTTATATTCTGACCGGCTCCGGTTCATATGTTCTAATGGTCTTCGACTGGCAACGTAAACCAAAGTGTATTTATTGCAGGGTGCCATTTCAGAAAGTTGACGTTTGACATCTCACGCCTGCGACAAATGAGGTCACCGTTGTGAGTGTAGTTTCTAAACTAATTTTCTAGTGCGTTTTATGCTATTGGACCTACTATTCTCCGGTTTGTTGTCTGGGGATTTCATATTAAAGCGCCTCTAGATATAGAGCTGTCTCTTGTGCAGCGTTGTTCGAATCCCTTGTCCATCAACACCTGAGGCCAGGCCACCCTACGTGTTACTCAATCCTGTCGAATGCGTCGCATCATCTATAACCGACTCTCTATCTCTCGCTCTCTCACCGCATCTCTGCTTTGGTCATCCACAATAAATTTAAACCTTTGTACACTCACACTACAGCTTTTCAAAATTCTATTATGTCTTATCTGTTTCGTTTATTGGTATCCAGAGGACGACCAGCAATTGTAGCTGCTACGGATCCTGATTCACCATCTTCATGGTTGCTTATTTACTGAATACTACATCTCTAAGTCCATTTTATTCGCTTGTACGCCAAAGCAGACCGCATAAATTTACTCACTGAAAATTCTGTTCACACTGGATGAATAAAGTGCATTGTTCATTTGACTTGACTTGACAGCCTACTGAATAGAGTCAATAAAAGACAAACCTGTCTGTGAAACACGAGATCAATTGACTCAGGGGATCATGTGAGGTCCAGACTGAGGACCGAATTTCATGCTCGAAAGACCTAAACAGATGCGTAGTGTACTCGGCCGGTGACCAAAAACTTTCCTGTTGCTCTCGATTGTCCTCAAAACCATCCCAGAGAACTCAAATATCAACGTGGTAAGGTCGTGTTACGAAAGCGGCACAGAAGATTGAGCTGCCTCGAGTTTCAAAAATAAAGTAATCCGTAATTTGTAAACATACTGCATACATTTTTACAGATTAAATGATTTGGGAATCGCACAAGGGAGTGTCAGAACGAACACAAATCAGTAAGAAGTGAAAAGACAACATATTTTGGAGTTCTCAGTTACAGAAAAGTATTGAATTAGGGATAGTACTTCGACGGAAAACATCCAAAGCCAATTTTTCTCAGAGTTTTATGTATGCCGATACTTTATTTTGTTCCTTGCACTAGAGAGAAGCTACGCTCGAGCATCGCAGGCAGTTCGTCTCATTCCACGCGAAATGGAAGGGTAAGTGTGACGAAAATTTCGCTCCCTCTCCCTCTCTGTTTCGTGCAGATCGGATTTCCGTGACAAGCAATATGCCACACCGAAATGTATCACACTGTCGGTGGAGGAATTGAATTTGTAAAATTGCAACAACGTTACAACCTCCGTGCAGAATACGTGTTAAGGCGTAGGTGTTAAACAGCTAGAAAACGAGTGCACGAGTGCTGTATATATTCCTTGAATGTCCAACAGACATCAAACGGTCTATCGTGATCCGTTTTTTCCATCACTCGTGTAAATCAACCTGGGTCTTGTATTTCGATGAATATGAAACTTCAGTACATGATGGACGCACTTTTTTTCAGATATCATTATGATGTTAGCTGTGAACATGAGGGGTAAATCATTAGTTCGAGGATTGCATGATGAGGAGGCTAAGTTCATACCTAGCAAAAACACACTTCTACTTCCAAAACGGTTCACACAGTTGGGCAGTAAAATGAGTTTTTTGAAACACTGGGTCCCCTTTATCCATCGCATCAAAGCCGAAAGAAGACATGTGTCGCGAAATGTTTACATTTCGCTTAATCTTCTCAATCGCTGACGTAAAAAAAACAAGCACATTTATGGCACATTAGATTAGTAAATCCTAGTGAACGGACATGTACAGTTAGACAGGGACTATTAGAATTAAAAAAATACTAATACTAGTATAACTAATAGTCCCTGTCTTACTGTACATGTCCGTTCACTAGGATTTACAAATCTAATATCCTATAAATGTGCTTTTTTGTTTCACGTCAGCGATTGAGAAGATTAAACGAAATGTTAACATCTCGCGACAAACGTCTTCTTTCGGTTTTGAGTAAAATGAGTATTTTTGGTGGAGGTGTTTTCAATGAGCTTTAGATTAGAAAATACTTTGTGAACTTCGGGAGGTGAAGCGATAATTAGTTTGTGATATTCGATAAATACCAGACAAACCACTGTGGTAAACAAAAGCCCAGGCAATGAACATACCGCTATTTGTGAATAACAATGTAAGAGCCATCGATTAATCATTAAGAGAATGATTCAGAAAGGCTTTTATCAATCAGTTCTTTGTAGGAGAAAACGTTTGTCTGTTAGATACACTCATTACCACAAACACCTTATTAATTTCATGTCAGGAATATTTTTTGTGTGTATTTCCACACACGTCTGAATCCAGACTGTGTACCAAACAAATCACGATACAATAACCTCCATAAAAAATAAAAATGGTCCATGATTTGCTTGTGGTCGCGATGATGTCAGGTTGTCCAGGCCAAAGCAGATGAATCTTTTTGGGGAGTTTACAACTGGAGCCTTCGGCTACCCAAAGCCTAACCCACAAAACAGCTGGGTGGTGACCAGTTCATCAGATCATTCGTCCTTTGGGCGGGATCAGACCTCCAAAGTGTCATATACACCTTAATGTCCAATCAAGCGGGTGACAACTGCCACAACAATGAAGGTGTGTCTGTGGTTCGTACACTTCATCTTGGTTTACTTGGAATTATGGTTCTTAGTCAACTCCTAGAGGTAAACTGCCGGTGGTTCACCGACCCGGTAATAGCCCCGGATGATGGCATTTCGTTCTCTCACATTGGTGGAAAAACACGCCCCTACGTGAATGCAGTGAGTAGGGCTTCCCCATAAGAGGCTATTTGAGACGTTTGGCCGTATGGAAACGTTTCATGCGGTGCACGGGAGGGTCGAACTGGCCCCAACCCGAGACTATGGATAGTTCAGAAGTCAAAGATTGCTTTGTATTGTGTTGTATTGTATTGTAATAACTTCTGTAGGCAAAAAGCCTACATTTCAGTTAAAAATGTACAGGTTGGAGTAAGGGAGAAAACAATAAATGAATAAATAAATAATAAATAAAAAGAAGAAAATAATAGTGAAAAAGAGATTCAAATCCTAAAAATGTTAACAAAGTCTATGAAAACTTGTACTTTGTTAATCAGAATACATGCTGTAGAGTTGCGATATATGTTTATTCGAGAGGGAACGCAAGGATATTGGGATCTAGTTGAGGGATGGAAACAACAGGAAGTTAGGTCTGCGTGTAGCCGATGTGTGGAGTCGATGAGAATCTTATGTGCAAACGTTTCACACGCATTCAAATGATGTTCGCATAGGTCAGTTACCAACTCCTTCATGGGGACTGTAGAGACACGGCTAACGACGAAGCAATTTAAAATCCTTCTTTAGTAGATTGAAACAAATAACAGATAAACAACAAAGTAAAACGGGGAAAACACACTGGTATACAACTCTGAAAGTAATTGATTGTTGAATATGACACTGACAACGTCTACGGATATGAAAAGAAAGTCCTCGAAGCTTACTGACCATATGTTGAATGTGAGAGGTCCAGTGAGGATTAGTATCAATAAAAACACAGGTATTTAATACAGTTTGCCAATCGACAATGGTTTTGTATTTATATTTGTATAACTTTCGCAAGCTGAGATATGCTTACATTTCAGTTAAAATTGTACACTGGTCATCATACTGAAAAAGTAAAGAAGTATAAATAAATCCAATGCTGCGTAACAAAATTAATGTCTTTAAAGTTTGATTTATCCAATTAAAGATTGAAGTAATTCATTTATAACTCGTTCCTTGTTGGACAAGATGCGAGCCAGCTACGGTACAGTGGAGTTTTTATAAATATTTATTTGGGAGGGTAGGTACCGATAAGAGGAACGAGTGATCGAGTAGAAGCGACAAGAAGATAAGTCAAAATGCAAAGGGTGAGTGGGATCGTTTAGAATCCTATTGACAAAGGTCATGAAAGACTTCATACGACCATTAATTAATAAGTTCTATGATTAATGAATCGGTAGAAACTAAAGATTCACAGTTTACTATCAATAATCCATGACGGACAGTTTTGATGTCTTGTTTCAATAGACCGGTAAACACTACAGGGGAGCAGCAAAGTAAAATAGGGAGAACGCACTGTTTAACAAAAGAGAACATAACTTGTTTGTGACTGTGAAATTGTCTGAGCTTTTGGAGCTGAAAGGAGAGGCCTTGAAGTTTCCCCATACACTTCTGAATGTTTGTCGAACACCGAAGACTATTATCGATAGTAACACCCAGATATTTGGCTGAGGTTGCCAATAAGGGTTACAGAGTCTGATGGGAATGTAGAGCGAGAGGAACTAAAAATGCACTCCAGGCACTTGGATGTGTCAAGATTAGGGCCATACTGGTTTGAAAACTGTTCGATTCGAGGACAGATTTTCAGTGAGGGAAGAAAACTCCGAAGAAGAAGAAACGGTCTGACATAAAACGACATCGTCAGCATACTTTTGGATACGATCAGGCTGTGGAACTGAAAGATCACTAATAAAAGCACAGAAAAGATACGGAGAGAGGACAACACCTTGAAGCACACCAGAATTATTGACTAGAGGACTTGAGGTATTCTTGCCCAGCTTTGTGCACTGGGTTCTTTCGGTGAGACAAACAGAAAGCCATGAAAGCAGTTGTCTCGGGGTGCCAAAAGATTCAAGCTTAAAAAAGAGGGATGATCGGGATACAGAATCAAGAGCAGATGAATAGTCAACAAAAACAACGAACAGATTTGGCAGAATTTTTCAATGACTTGCTTATAAAATGGACCAGAGTAGACACAGCATCCAAAGTGGATCTATTGGGTTTATACGCGAACTGAAGGGGATCATGGGGACTGATAACGAATGATTGTAAGAGACTCAGAGTGGTTTTCTCAGTCAACTTTAGAACTACAGACGTCAATGGGATGGGACGAAAACGTTTTGCAAGAACGGTTGAGGATGAGGTCATTGGAACAGGTATTATGGTCATTGGTCGCCAGGAATCGGGGATCATCTGTGCAGAAAGATAATCCTTGATGAGGGCTATCATCATACTGGTTACAGGGGCTGCTCCAAAATTGAGAAATGCTAGAGAAAGATCATCAGGACCCTCAGATGACGATGGTTTGAAGGAATGTAGAAGCTTAAAAATTTCATCATTAGAAAAAGGGAACAGATCAGAATTGAACATCTCACATGGGAAAGAGGGTATCTGGGTATCGTTAGAGGGACAAAGAAATGCAGCGTTAAGGCTATTTAGATCAACATCACTGTTCACGTTTTTCCTTCTTTTTCCGC